ACCATCGTGATTATCTGGGTCATGAAGATCTTTTTTTGTTCATTTCTTCCGTGTATTCTTGATACCTCTTCTTAATATCTTCTGCTTCTGTTAGGTCCATACCATTTCTGTCCTTTATTGAGCCCATTTTTGCATGAAATATTCCCTTGGTATCTCTAATTTTCTTGAAAAGATCTCTAGTCTTTCCCATTCTGTTGTTTTCCTCTTTTTTTTTTTTTTTTTTTTGCCATGAAGGGCCTGGCATGGGCCACCTTCTTTTTATTTGCCATTGAAGATGTGGCACACAGACCACCAGCATCAGCATCACCTGGACACTTTTTTAGAAGCACATATTTCATCAGGTGGTTTGCATGCACATTAAAACTTAAGATGTACAGTGTTTATTATCAGTTCAGTTCAGTTCAGTCACTCAGTCGTGTCCGACTCTTCATGACCCCATGAACCTCAGTACACTAGGCCTCCCTGTCCATCACCAACGCCCAGAGTCCACCCAAACCCATGTCCATTGAGTTGGTGATGCCATCCAACCATCTCATCCTCTGTCGTCCCCTTCTCCTCCTGCCCTCAATCTTTCCCAGCATCAGGGTCTTTTCCAATGAGTCAGCTCTTCACATCGAGTGGCCAAAGTATTGGAGTTTCAGCTTCAGCGTCAGTCCTTCCAATGAACACCCAGGGCTGTTGTTTTCCTCTATTTCTTTGCATTGATTGCTGAGGAACGCTTTCTTATCTCTCCTTGCTCTTCTTTGGAACTCTGCATTCAAATGGGAATATCTTTCCTTTTCTCCTTTGCTTTTAGCTTCTCTTCGTTTCACAGCTATTTGTAAGGGCTCCTCAGACAACCATTTTGCCTTTTTGCATTTCTTTTCCATGGGGATGGTCTTGATCCCTGTCTCCTGTACAGTGTCACAAACCTCCATCCATATTTCATCAGGCTCTCTGTCTATCAGATATAGTCCCTTAAATCTATTTCTCACTTCCACTGTAGATTCATAAGGGATTTGATTTAAGTCATACCTGAATGGTCTAGTGGTTATCCCTACCTTCTTCAGTTTAGTCTGAATTTGGCAATAAGGAGTTCATGATCTGAGTCACAGTCAGCTCCCGGTCTTGTTTTTGCTGACTGTATAGAGCTTCTCCATCTTTGGCTGCAAAGAATATAATCAGTCTGATTTCGGTGTTGACCATCTGGTGATGTCCATGTGTAGAGTCTTTTGTGTTGTTGGAAGAGGGTGTTTGCTATGACCAGTGCGTTCTCTTGGCAAAACTCTTATTAGCCTTTGCCCTGCTTCATTCCATACTCCAAGGCCAAATTTGCCTGTTACTCCAGGTGTTTCTTGACTTCCTACTTTTGCATTCCAATCCTCTATAATGAAAAGGACATCTTTTTTGGGTGTTAATTCTAAAAGGTCTTCAGAGAACTGTTCAACTTCAGATTCTTCAGCGTTACTGGTTGGGGTATAGGCTTGGATTACTGTGATATTGAATAGTTTGCCTTGGAAACGAACAGAGATCATTCTGTCATTTTTGAGATTACATCCAAGTACTGCATTTTGGACTCTTTTGTTGACTATGATGGCTTCTCTGTTTCTTCTAAGGGATTCCTGCTCATGGTAGTAGATATAATGGTCATCTGAGTTAAATTCACCCATTCCAGTTCATTTCAGTTCGCTGATTCCTAGAATGTCGACAGTCACTCTTGCCATCTCCTGTTTGACCACTTCCAATTTGCCTTGATTCATGGACCTAACAGTCCACGTTCCTATGCAATATTGCTCTTTCCAGCATTGAACCTTGCTTCTATCACCAGTCCCATCCACACCTGAGTGTTGTTTTTGCTTTGGCTCCATCCCTTCATTCTTTCTGGAGTTATTTCTCCACTGATCTCTAGTAGCATATTGGGCACCTACCGACCTGGGGAGTTCCTCTTTCAGTATCCTATCATTTTGCCTTCTCATACTGTTAATGGGGTTCTCAAGGCAAGAACACTGAAGTGGTTTGCCATTCCCTTCTCCAGTGGACCACATTCTGTCAGACCTCTCCACCATGACCCGTCCCTCTTGGGTGGCCCCACACGGCATGGCTTAGTTTCACTGAGTTAGACACGACTGTGGTCCTGTGATCAGATTGGCTGGTTTTCTGTGATTACGGTTTCAGCGTGTCTGCCCTCTGATGCCCTCTTGCAACACCTACCGTCTTACTTGGGTTTCTCTTACCTTGGACGTGGGGTATCTCTTTACGGCTGCTCCAGCAAAGCGCAGCCACTGCTCCTTACCTTGGACGAGGGGTATGTTCTCACGGCCGCCCCTCCTGGCCTTGAACGTGGAGTAGCTCTTCTCGGCCCTCCTGTGCCCCCACAGCAGCCGCTCCTTGGAGGTGGGGAAACTCCTCTCGGCCGCCCCTCCTGCGCTGTCGCAGCCTGGCGCTCTCAGTCTAGGTTAGGTACAATAATCTTAACATGTCTTAATTAGATCAATAATCTTAAACATCAATATCAGATATCAACTTAATAGTGAATATTTCCCAGTTCACATGAATCTGAAAGTCGTCTTCACCATTTTAAATGTAGTGCTTTTTATTAAAACTAAATAGAACTCTTTATAAACTTAATTTTGATAGTACTTTCTAGAAGTAGAGATATCTCATATGTATAATGTGTACACAGACATAAACAGGCAAACTAGAGATCTCATGGCTTTACTAAAAGCTTAGATATGAACCACATATTACAATATAAACTTACTAGTTCACAAACAACACATTAAGATTGCTAGCTCAGATGACTAAGGCTTGTGATCTGTAAATTTGCCTAAGGGAGCATTTCCAGTGGTTTGAATTTTAAAACTACCATTTTTTCCCCTTTGTTTTAGGTTTTGTGTGCTTGAGTTAATTGGGCTCAGTCTCCGGTCCTTATGGCCTGTATTCACATTCTGATTTTAGAGATTTGGAAGAGAAAGACAGTTGTTTTTAGCTCCTGGAAGAACAGTTCTGTCACCTAAAGTTACTGACATCAGTGACAAGATTTTAACTGAACTGAAATGTATTTTATAAAGTTTTGTGTTCTATAATTTTAGAATTTAATTTATCTTGCCTTTAAAGGTTTGTATAAAACATTCAGCAAAAGACAATTCTGAGTTTATGAGTTAAACCAAAGCAAAATCACTAGTTTTATTTTTATTATCCCTTGCATGTTAGTTCGCAGTTTTTGCAACTACTGGTTAGTACATTCAGTTAGTGTGTTCTTAGTGGCCATCTATTTGCCTTGTCTTATAACACCATGCAGGGGAATTATGCCCCAATGGAACATGCCTATTTCACAATTTAATTAAGCAAAAGAGATGTGACCATCTTGTATAAAGAAACTAAAGCCCTTTGTTTAAGGTTTTACCAAGCCAGCTTTTAACTTTGTTTGCAGTGAAGAGCCCGCTCAATTTCCAGGGTGAGATTTTCTCCAATTTCCGATCAAGTAAACATTTGTAAGTTTTGTAACATAACATTTGCCCAGCTAGGGTACTGGAACTCTGTTGTTCCTTTTTCTTTTACTTTGAAATCTTTGTTTCCCATTCTGAAGTCAGTGTGTCAAGATAAAATTGCTAATGAGGATCATGTGGCAGACCAGCATGTGCTGCTCGAAGGCTTACTCTTCTGGTTTTGCCTGAGTTGTTTCAGCCCCCTCGTATATGCTTTGGGTGTCCCAGTGAAGTGTAAGACTTCCACAAGTGCTCAGATTGTGGAACGGCCAATTCTCGTGCACGTCCCTAGTTGAGCAGATTGTTAATTATGTGAGTGGGTTTCCGTGTAGGTGCAGCCTCGTGGTGTGAGGTCTGCCTCTACCACTCCTGCAAGTTCTCTCACCTGAGAAAGCCATTGCTGGCTGGCTGGAAGAGTCCCTTCTTCGGCGCTCAGAAGCTCTCATAAGATTTTTATTTTATTTTGACACACTCTGTTAAGATAAACCAAATCAAGGAAAAACAACAAGCCAGTCTTACCCCTAATAAGTCAGTCCTACCTTACTCAGTGTTAAACTGAGCCTAGTCTCTCAACTGAGGCTATCTACTCAGTATCCAAACTGAGCCTTCCTAGTGCCTTAACACTGAGGGTTCCCTGCTCGAGCAGAAGCTTCCTAGTCCTCTGACTCAGGGTATCCCGCCCTGTGTCCAAACTGAGCAGCCAGGTACATCTTGAAACCAAGTTTCAAGGATAACTTTTTCCCCCACTGAATAAAACTTAGGATCATCAGCCAATAATGGGAAATCCTAGAACCAGGAGAGACTCACCCAGATTCATCTGGACTGGTCGAGCAGGCTGATGGGCAAAGGAACCAAGGCTCTGGATCTCTGTAGAGTCCAGGTGAAGAAGAGGAATCTGCTCTGGTCCCCTTGTCCATCAGCAAAATGTCAACTAAAAAAACTTGTCACAACCTGGAAATAGAGAGTTGTTTTATTTGGTGAGAATTCTTAGGACTTCAAGCCCAGGGAGCAGCATCTCAAGTAGCCCTCAAAGCCCTGCTTTGAGGAGGTGGGGGAAGCAGTCAGGTTATAGAAAAGTTTGCAACAAAGGGGGGCAGGTAGTCTGAACATAAAAGATTGTTAATTAAGGAAAACCAGGTATCTCAAGGAATTTAGCACTTTTCTAAGTGTGGGAAGATGCAAGCATCTGGGGCTTATTTACTGAAATCCTTTCTTTCTACAAACCTCACCTGTCTGGGGCCAGCATCCTGTTTCTTGATTTTGTTACATCCTTAGTTCCTCATTCACTGTAGGGATTGCTAGCAGCTGATAGCTGGTAGATTGCAGGCATTGGGTGCCCTTGGGGCTCAGCAATTTATTATATTTCGAGGCCCCAAATCGCTGATGACTGTGCATCCTTGTTTACTGATATGGCAGGAAATACTCCATTTCACAGGGGTTTTGTGAACTGATAAAAGGCTAATTGAACAGAATTATTTGTCTATGAGAACTTTAAGTTTTGTGTGTTGACTGTTTTAATTTTGTTTCCCACAGCACAGTGGAAAGAGTTGGGACTTCAAGCCTTGCCTCCAGGCCTCAAAGTAATAGAAGAAATTATTTCTTCTGAGGATGAGAAAATGCTTTTGGAGAGTGTTAACTGGACAGAAGATACAGACAATCAAAATTGTAAGTAAAACTTTAAATCTGATATTTAAAAGCTTCTGCAAAATGTCTTCTTCTTCTTTGGTTTATTCTGTTTCCTCAAAATTACTGAAAGTGCTCTGGATCCACCGTTAGGTAAGTCACACTAACAATTCTTAAGAGCATTAATAATAAGTAGCTTTCATATATATGTATCAATTTAAAACTCCAAATTGATGAATATGTATTAGCCAACATTTGTAGAGCTGGCAAAGGTCCGTCTTGTCAAAGCTATGGTTTTTCCAGTAGTCATGTGTGGATGTGAGAGTTGGACTATAAAGAAAGTTGAGTGCAGAAGAATTGCTGCTTTTGAACTGTGGTGCTGGAGAAGACTCTTGAGAGTCCCCTGGACTGCAAGGAGATCAAACCAGTGAATCCTAAAGGGAATCAGTCCTGAATATTCATTGGAAGGGCTGACGCTGAAGCTGAAGCTCCGGTACTTTGGCTACTTGATGGGAAGAGCTGACTCATTGGAAAAGACCCTGATGCTGGGAAAGATCAAAGGCAGGGGAGGAGGGGATGACAGAGGATGAGATGGTTGGATGGCATCACCGACTCAGTGGACATGAGTTTGAGCAAGCTCTGGGAGTTGTGATGGACAGGGAAACCTGATGTGCTGCAGTCCACGGGGTCACAAAGAGTTGGACACAGCTGAGTGAACTGAACTGAACTGAACTGTAGAGCCAACATTAATAAGCTGTTTCACATACATTTGGTTGTCTGTATTCATGGGTTCTGTATGAATGAATTCAGTCAACTCTGGATTGAAAAAATTTGAAAAAGAAGTAAAATTCTAGCAAGTTCCAAAAGGTAAAATATGTTGGCAGTTCATTATATATATATATACATACACATATATATATATATATATTGTATTTGCAACTGTTTTACATGTCATATACATTGTACTAGGTATTGTAAGTAATCTAAAGATGATTTAAAGCATTCTGGAGGATGTGAAAGATATTTACATTATATGCAAGAATTTTGGTATTTGAGGGAACCAATTCCCCAAGGATACACAGGGACAACTGTATATTGTCTTATTTGGTTCTCTCTCAGTTCAGTTCAGTTGTTCAGTTGTGTCCGACTCTTTGTGACCCCATGAACTGCAGCACACCAGGCTTCCCTGTCCATCACCAACTCCCAGAGTTCACCCAAACCCATTGTTGTCTCTACCCTAAGGCAAACTTTACTCTGAGAAATTAGCAGTTCAGTGCCATATGATTATAATGTAGTAAGAACGTCCTGGAGAAATTTACAAATTAGTTACTCTGTTTCCGGATAATTAGCAATCTTGTGAGCGGCAGTGTATATAGTTAGCTCTTTTAAATTGATTGGGTGAAACCCTTAAAAGTTTGTTTCAATTTTAGACTTAAAAGAACAGCAGATATGAAGTAGAATGTTCAATTTTACTAAAGACAATAATTTAGCAGTTAACAAAAATTGCCATTATTAAATTAATCCTTATTCATAAAGTTAACTTTGAAATATATGAAGGAATGAAATTATTTTTCTCCTAAATAGTTTACTTCTCTTCATACAGTTCAAAAATCCTTAAAACACAGAAGAGTAAAGCATTTTGGCTATGAATTCCACTATGACAACAACAATGTAGATAAAGATAAGCCGTTACCTGGGGGTAAGTAATTGTTAGCAAACAGTAAGGGCTGGCTCTGGAAAAAATATTAATGTATAATATTAGGATATCATGGTTGAGATTATTTTTCATTTGTCATTTGTATGTTAACATATAAAACAGTTGATTAAATTTAAGTGATTTAGATTAAATAGTGTAGTTTTGTGTTAAAAATGTTATACATACAAATAAAGCTAAATTTAATTTCTCTTGAGCACTATCCTTATTCCCGTATACCTCTTCAGAAGTAATACAGTTAACAGTTTAGTGTATATTATTTCAATCTTTATAAATGAATTTACATCCAAATAACCTGTTTAAGTATATAGTTAATGTGTAGTAGTATATTGTACGTCATGAATTGTATATGTTGAATGTATATCACAGTATATGTTAGAGATCTTATATGATTTTAGTTTTATTGAATAGTTAGTAATAGCTTATTCAGTTAGTTTCCTTTTGCTAAACATTTAGGTTGTTTCTAGTTTTTGGCTTTTACAAGTTGTGCTGCAGTAGATATCTTTGTACACACCTCTTTATGCTTTAAGCAAGAGTTGCTCAAGGGAAATGAAACTGCTAGATTAGAATTCTGTCAAAGTTATGCTCACTTAAAAATGTCAGTAGACACTGACAGATTGCATCCTAAAAGAGCTATACTAACATTCTCTCACAAAGTGCTTACTTCCTTACCCCAGCTGCATGTGAAATATCACTTTTAACTTTATACCTGATTACTAGTGAGATTGGCCATTTTTATTTCCTTTTCTGTGAATTCTTTTTCATCTTCTTTGCTAGTTTTTTTCTAATGAGTAGTGTAATGTATTAATAAGATTTTACTATATAATCTAGATATTAATCCTTTGGTAGACGTCTTTGTTGGAATTCAATTTATGTGTATTTTTATGACTTTCGTCTTACTTAAGGATTTCCTTTGCCTCATGAAATAACATTTATGATCCCAATAAAAGTGACTTAGTTCTACTTTGAAAAATATATTTTTTAAAAAGAAATAATTTAAAATAATTAAATTTAAAATAAATTAATAATTTAAGATAATAAGAAATTGGTCAGGCTAGTCTCCATATAATATTGTAAATTTTATAATTGTTGCTCTAAAAAAAACTAAAATTGTCGTCTGCAAAATTCTTTTGTATATTTTATTTGATAAAGTTAATAAAATAACTTAAAAGATTATTAAGATTTTGTTTTTATTTTCCTTTGCTTGTGAGTTTACTGTTATGTTTGGATCTGACTAAACTAAAAGCTGTGTGATTTTTATCACTGACTATTTTTTTCATTCTTGGGTTAAACATGAAAACTAAATATTTTAATAATGTTTCACTTTTATCATTACTGATTTCAGGTCTTCCTGACATTTGTGAGAGCATTTTAGAGAAATGGTTGAAGGCAGGATTCATTAAACATAAACCTGATCAATTGACTATAAACCAGTATGAACCTGGGCATGGTGAGTATTTCTTCTTTTACAATTCCAGTCATAAATTTCATAACTTGGTGGGTTACATAGCTCCCTAAGATCAAAGATATTATTTTTTTGCTTAAATTTACTCTTAATTTGCTTATGTCCGTTACCTGTGTTGATTTTAATCCCTTTGCAATTTTACACTCAGTTTCTTGAGGAATTTGATTCTCTAAGTGTAAACAGACTGACATGTTGTTATTTGTGATTTTCTTTTGTTCCCCCCTCAACATTGTTTTTTTGGAGAGAAAGAAGATTGCTTTAAAAACAAAGAAAGCATGTGGAATGGAAGAAATCAAATAATTTACAGGTACCAAGAAAAAGGCTAATTAGTTAGACCATCTTGATCTTCTTATTCTTCTGTAGAGAATGTGGAAGATAATTCTAGGATGATGTTTCAATGGAAAATGTTTAGGTTATTGATTTTTTGCACTTGTTAGCATCTCCATCTGATATCTGAACTAATCAAATGATACTGAGGGCTTTGTTAGTGAGAGTTACGGCATTCCCCCTGCGTTTATCATGTTTTATGATGGCTCAGTCTTTCCATTGGTCTGAGCTCCTTAAGGAGAGCGAGCTTCACGTACTCTCACGATGGAGCAGCGTTCCTTTCAAGGAAGAGATGGACTCCGTCAGTGTAGACGGAGGGAGTACATTGTCACCCTGCTTATTTAGCTTATATACAGAGTATATCATGCGGAATGCGGGACTGGATAAATCACAGGTTGGAACCAAGATTGATGGGAGAGGTATCAGTAACCTCAGGTATGTAAATGGTACCACCCTAATGGCAGAAAGCAAAGAGGAACTAAAGAGCCTCTTGATGGAGGTGAAAGAGGAGAGTGAAAAAGCTGGCTTAAGCTCAATATTTGTAAAAACAGGATCATGGCATTCGGTCCCATCACTTCACAGTTAAAAATATGGGGAAAAAATGGAAACCGTGGCAGACTTATTTTCTTGGATTCTGAAATCACTGTGGATGGGGACTGCAGCCATGAAATTAAAAGATACTTCCTCCTTGGAAGAAAAGCTATGACAAAACTAGATAGCATATTGAAAAGCAGAGATACCACTTTGCCAGCAAAGGTCCATATATATAGTCAAAGCTATAGTTTTTCCAATAGTCATGTATGGATGTGAGAGCTGGACCATAAAGAAGGCTGAGTGCCAAAGAATTGATGCCTTCAAACTTTGGTGCTGGAGAAGACTCTTGAGAGTCCCATGGACAGCAGGGATATCAAACCAGTCAGTCCTAAAGGAAATCAACCCTGAATATTCATTAGGATTTCTTGTGCTGAAACTGAAGCTCCATTACTTTGGCTACCTGAAGGGAGGAACTGACTTGTTGAAAAAGACCTTGATGCTGGGAAAGATTGAAGGCAGGAGGAGAAGGGGACAACAGAGAATGAGACGGTTGGGTGGCATAACCTACTCAGTGGACGTGAGTTTGAGCAAGCTCTGGGAGATGGTGATGGACAGGGAAACCTGTCATGCTGCAATCCATGGGGTCATAAAGAGATGGACATGGCTTAGTGACTGAAAAACCACAACAGTGTCGATTGAGAGACTGGTGAAAGAAGCCATATCGTAAATATTCATAAGATTAGTCTTCATGCCTGGCTGTTGTTTTTGTTCTACAAGTACTTGGGAATCCAGTATTCATAGGTCAGAAATGACTTTGTTAGCTATCTTGGGATGAGATTTGGGAAATGCCCTGGTTAAGCAGCGACTCTCAAGTCTTGATTTTACTATCAAGTCACAATGGTGCTTTAATGTAAAGTTATCTTTTTAGTTTAGACTTAGTTTAATTTTCATACTGTTCATGGGATTCTCATGGCAAAGATGCTGGAGTGGTTTGCCACTCCCTCCTCTAGTGGACCATGTTTTGTCAGAACTCTCCACTATGACCTGTCTATCTTGAGTGACCCTGCCCAGCATGGCTCATAGCTTCATTGAGTTACACAGGCACCTTCGCCACAACAAGGCTGTGATCCATGAAGGCTGTGATCTGGAAGATGAGCCCCCCAGGTCAGAAAGTGTCCATTATACTACTGGGGAGGAGTGGAGGTGATTGCTAATAGCTCCAGAAAGAATGAAGAGGCTGGGGCAAAGTGGAAATGACAGTTGTAGATGTGTCTGGTGGTGAAAGTAAAGTCCAATGCTGTAAAGAACAGTATTGCACAAGAACCTGGAATGTTAGGTCCACGAATCAAGGTAAACTGGATGTGGTCATGCAGAAGATGGCAAGACTGACCATCGACATCTTAGGAATTAGTGAACTTAAATGGGTGAGAGTGGGTGAATTTAATTCAGATGACCCTTATATCTACTACTGTGGGCAAGAATCCCTCAGATAGAAGTGGAGTAGCCATCATCATCAACAAAAGGGTCTGAAATGCAGTACTTGAGTGTAAAACTGATCTTGGTTCATTTCCAAGGCAAACCATTCAGTATCATAGCAATCCAAGTCTATGCCCCAACCACTGTTACTGAAGAATCTGAAGTTGACTGGTTCTATGAAGACCTACAAGACCGTCTAGAACTAACACCACAAAGAAAAGTATCCTTTTCATTATAAAGGATTGTAATGCAAAAGTAGGAAGTCACATGATACCTGGATTAACAGGCAGGTTTGGCCTAGAAGTACAAAATGAAACAGGGCAAAGGCTAACAGAGTTTTGCCAAGAGAATGCACTGGTCATAGCAAACACCCTCTTCCAGCAACACAAAAGATGAGTCTAGTGATGTGGACATCACTAGATGCTCAATACCAAAATCAGATTGATTATATTGTTTGCAGCTGAAGATGGAGAAGCTCTATACAGTCGGCAGAAACAAGACCGGGAGCTGACTGTGGCTCATATCATGAGCTCCTTATTGCAAAATTCAGGTTTAAATAGACGAAAGTAGGGAAAACTGCTAGGCCATTCAGGTATAACCTAAATCAAATCCCTATTATGATACAGTGGAGGTGATGAATAAATTCAAGGGGTTAGATCTGATAGAGTGCCTGAGTAACTATGGACGGAGGTTCATAACATTGTCCAGGAGGCGGTGACCAAGCCATCCCAAAGTAAAGAAGTGCAAGAAGGCAAAGTGATTGTCTGAGGAGGCTTTAGAAAAAGCTGAGACAGGAAGAGAAGTGAAAGGCAAGGGAGAAAGGGAAAGATACAGCCGTCTGAATGCAGAGTTCCAGAGAATATCAAGAGATAAGAAAGCCTTAAGTGGACAGTGCAAAGAAATAGAGGAAAGCAATCAATAGGAAAGACTAGAGATCTCTTCAAGAAAATTGGGGATATAAAGGGAACATTTCACGCAAGGATGGGCACGATAAAGGACAAAAACTGAGGACCTAACAAGCAAAAGAGGCTAAGAAGAGGTGGCAAGAATACACAGAAAAAAAAAGTCTTAATGACCCTGATAGCTATGATGGTATAGTCACTCACCTAGAGTCAGGCATCCTGGAACGTGAAGTCAGGTGGCTTTGGGAAGCATTACTATGAACAAATCTAGTAAAGGTGATGGAATTCCAGCAAAGCTGTTTCAGATCCTAAAAGATGATGCTGTTAAAGTTAAAGATTCTGCACATAGTATGTCAGCAAATTTGGAAAACTCAGCACTGGCCACAGTATTGGAAAATATCAGTTTTCATTCCAGTCCCAAAGAAGGACAATGCTAAAGCCAGCTTCTGTACAGTTGTACACATTTCACATACTAGCAAGCTTGTGCTCAAAACCCTTCACGCTAGGCTTCAGCAGTGTGTAAACCAAGATATTCCAGATCTATAAGCTGGGTTTGGAAAAAACAGAGGGGCCAGAGATCAAATTGCCAACATCTGTTGGATCATAAAGCAAGGGAATTGCAGAATATTATCTACTTCTGCATTGCCTACACTAAAGCCTTTGCCTTTGTGAATCACAAGGAGCTGGAAAATAATTAAAGAGATAATTTAATTTATCTCTGACCACCTTACTGAGCTCCTGAGAAACTGATATACAAGTCAAGAAGCAAAAGTTAGAACCAGACATGGAAAAATGGAGTGGTTCAAAATTGGGAAAGACTATGTATTGTCATCCTGTTTATTTAACTTATATGCAGAGTACATTATGCAAAATGCCAGGCTGTATGAAGCACAAGCTGGAAGCAAGATTACTGGGAGAAATATCAACAACCTCAGATATGTAGATGATACCATGATAGTGGCAGAAATTGAAGAGGAACTAAAGAGCTTCTTGATGAGGGTGAAATAGGAGACTGAAAAAGCTGGCTTAAAACTCAACATTCAAAAAGCTAAGATCACGGGATCTGTTCTCATCACTTCATGGAAAATAAAAGGGGAAAAGTGGAAACAGTGACAGACTATTTTCTTGGGCTCCAAAATCACCGTGGATGGTGACTTCAGCTGTGAAATTAAAAGATACTTGCTCCTTGGAAGGAAAGCTATGACGCACCCAAACAGTGTACTAAAAAGCAGAGACATCACTTTGCTGACAAAGGTCTATATGGTCAAAGCGTTGGTTTTCCAATAGTCATGTATGGATGTGAGAGTTTGATCATAAAGAAGGCTGCGCACCAAAGATTCGATGCTTTCAAATTGCTGTGCTGCAGAAGGCTCTTGAGAGTCCCTTGGACTCTATGGAGATCAAAGCAGTAATCCTAAATGAAATTCATACTGAATATTCTTTGGAAGAACTGATGCTGAGAGTGAAGCTCCAATACTTTGGCCACCAGATGGGAATAGCTGACTCTTTGGTAAATACCTTGATGCTGGGAACGTGTTGAAGGCAAAGAAGAAGGGAGCAGCAGAGAATGAGATGGTTAAATAGCCTCACTGACTCAATGGATGTAAATTTGAGCAAACTATTGAAGGACACAGACGCATGCTGCAGTCCATGGGGTCACAAAGAGTTGGACATGGCTTAGAGTCTCAACAGCAGCAACAACAAATTTAATTTTATTTACCTCATCTTAAATGTTTCCTTTTACCTAAAATTACAGTAGATTCCTGTTTATCAAATGATGTTTTCACTATAATCCTTGAGGCTATATTTAGAGATGTCTTAAATGTACTCAGAGGAAAAGTGAAGTGACTTGTTACCCTATGTTCCATCTCAGGAATTCCTGCTCACATTGACACACATTCTGCTTTTGAGGATGAGATCGTTTCTCTCAGTTTGGGATCAGAGGTAAATTTTCAAACACTTTTATTAGCTATCAGCAAATGTCTTACCTTATGCAATGCTCTTTTCATAGGATTTCTCACATTTCTTATTTCAGATGAATTAAGAGTTAAAAATGAAATGTAAAGACACCATTAGCATTTAATTTCTTATAGAATGTGAAATTATCACAGTCTCTTCTTTTAGGTGTCCAGAGTTTTATGTATCAGCTCACTAGATGGCAGGAAAGCCCTGTAAAATACATGGTACTTTTGTAAGTAAAACCGAAATGGTCATTTTACAGTAATTTACTGTAGCAGCATTGCCATCTAGTGGCTAAAGATAGTAGCTGCAGTCTATAGATTAAAATGTGTCTGGAATTTTGATAAACTTGTTTACATATATTTTGTGATTCAGTCCCTTCAGAAACTTTGAACAGTAATGGGTAATGTTTCTTTACAAATAAAGAAGAGGTTCATGTTTATTCACTGATATATTTTTATAGTATGGTTATACTTTATTTGATCTGCTATGTGAAAGTTGCTCTGTCATGTTCTACTCTTTGTGACCCCATGGACTATACAGTTCATGGAATTCTCCAGGCCAGAATGCTGGAGTAGGTAGCTTTCCCCCTCTCCATAGGATCGTCCCAACCCAGGAATTGAACGCAGGACTCCCGCATTGCAGATGGATTCTTTACCAGCTGAGCCACAAGGGAAACCCTTAAACTGCTACAGAAGCTATCAAAAGCATGATTTAAAGCAGTCCATGCAAACTGAAGCTATGAGGCCTTCCCTCATAGCTCAGTTGGTAAAGAATCTGCCTGCAATGCAGGAGACCCTGGTTCAATTCCTGGGTCAGGAAGATCAGTTAGAGAAGGGATAGGCTACTCACTACAGTATTCTCAGGTTTCCCTTGTGGCTTAGCTGGTAAAGAATCCTCCTGCAATGTGGGAGACCTGGGTTCGATCCCTGGGTTGGGAAGATCCCCTGGAGAAGGGAAAGGCTACCCACTCCAATATTCTGGCCTGGAGAATTCCAAGGACTGTATAGTCCATGGGGTCACAAAGAATAAAACATGACTGAGTGATTTTCACTTTATTTCATTCATGAAAACTGAAGATGGAGTTTTAGATAGAAATCAGAATTTAAAATCTAGAAGAGTCTTTAAAATATGAGGTTGTTTCAAAATCTTGTTCCTGGATGTAAATACTGTTTTCTGGTATTTTTTGCATTTGCTAAGTTCAGTTCAGATCAGTCGCTCAGTTGTGTCTGACTCTTTGCAACCCCATGGACTGCAGAAGGCCAGGCCTCCCTGTCCATCGCCAACTCCTGGAGTTTACTCAAGCTCACGTCCATTGAGTCAGTGAGGCCATCCAACCATCTCATCCTCTGTCGTCCCCTTCTCCTCCTGTCCTCAATCTTTCCCAGCATTAGGGTCTTTTCAAATGAGTCAGTTCTTTGCAGCAGGTAGCCAAAGTATTGGAGTCTCAGCTTCAGCATCAGTCCTTCCAGTGAATATTCAAGACTGATTTCCTTTAGGATGGACTGGTTGGATCTCCTTGCAGTCCAAGGGACTCTCAAGAGTCTTCTCCAACACGACACTTCAAAAGCATCAATTCTTCAGCGCTCAGCTTTCTTTATAGTCCAACTCTCATACCCATACATGACTACTGGGAAAACCATAGCTTTGACTAGGCACATGTTTGTTGGCAAAGTAATGTCTGCTTTTTAATATGCTGTCTAGTTTGGTCATAACTTTTCTTCTAAGGAGCAAGTGTCTTGTAATTTCATGGCTGCAGTCACCATCTGCAGTGATTTTGGAGCCCAAGAAAATAAAGTCTGTCACTGTTTGCATGAATTAATGGAACTTGGTGCCATGATCTTAGTTTTCTGAATGTTGAGAGTTTTAAGCCAACTTTTCATTCTCTCAGTTTCATCTAGATGCTCTTTAGTTCTTCACTTTCTGCCAAAAGGGTGGTGTCATCTGCCTATGGGAGGTTATTCATATTTCTCCCGGCAATCTTGATTCCAGCTTGTGCTTCATCCAGCCCAGAGTTTCTCATGATGTACTCTGCATATAAGTTAAAAAAGCAGGGTGACAATATACAGCCCTGACATACCCCTTTCCCTATTTGGAACCATTCTGTTGTTCCATTTGCTTAGTTCCCATCACTAAATTTTGCTTTGGCTTTTTAACTTTTGCTGAGCTTGTGTGATCATGTTGATACTATATCTATAGAGCTAGTGTATTTGTTTGATAAGGCAAAACCTCTTATCCTCTCCACTTGTGGACTCTTATTAAGTGATTTAAAAAATAATGAGGACAGGAAGGGAAAAGAGCTCTTCACTGTCTTGTTTATTTTCATTTTACCTCTTATCCTGGCTTGTAGCTTTAGGGGATCAGTAAAGAACATCTTTTGTCTTTTCCTCCTAACTGTGTAACCAGTGTAGAAATGAGATAAAAGATAAATGAATATCAGAATGTCAGCTGCTGAGAAAACATGGAAGATCATGGCTTTGGATCTGTTTCCAACTGGATTTATTAATACTTCAACTCTGAATTAGACATACTGTCCTTTACACGGGTACAGCTGACGACTTTTCCCATAAAGGCAGAGGCTGTCCCTATAACAGAGGACGTGAAGAAGTATACATTAAGATTCTGCATACTAGCTAGATTTGAAAGAGAGAAGAAAGGGCTCATTGAAGCAGGTTTGGCTCTAGGCTAACCAAGCAGCTGAGGTGTACCTTCTCTGTGGAGAGTTGGAAGTAAAGAAATGGAGAAAAATAGGTCTTCCTATTACTTTCATTCCTATAGAAATTCTCTCCATTCCTAGGGAAATATAAAAAATGGGGCCTAAATATTCCTCCAACACCCTAAAAGGTGATTATATAGTTTTTAAGTTATAAAGAAGGGGAAAACTTGCCTCTAGTTGCACTGAAAATCTACTGTAGTAATTATCTCCATTTGGTGTCTCTGGAGTCACACACTTTTTCCCCTAGTGGAAAAAAAAAAAGGTAGTATAATTGCCTTACAGTATTAGTTTCAGTTGTACAAGATAATTTGGTATTTTTATATTCTGTAAGATGATTACGACAATAAGACTAGTTACCATCTGTTGCTGCACAAAGTTATTACAGTATTATTGACTATATTCTCTGTGCTGTGCATTTCTTTTGCTAATTTGTTTTGTAAGTTTGGAAGTTTGTACCTCTTTATCTCCATAACCTATTTTACTCATCCCCCCATCCTCCTCCCGTGTTGGGACGACCAGTCCTCTTTATCTGAGTCTGCTTTCTGTTTTTTTTTACATTTGTTTATTTATTTTTGTTTAGATTCCACATATAAGTGAGATCATACAGCATTTGTCTTTCTCATCTGACTTATTTCACTTAATATACTCTAGCTCCATCCATGTTGTTGTAAATGGCAAAGTTTCCTCCTTTTTTATGGCAGAATAATTTTATGTGTGTGTCTCACATTTTGTTTATGAATTAATGGGCTCTTAGGTTGCTTTCATGTCTTGGCTGTTGTAAATAATGCACATGGAGGCGCACATATCTTTTCAAGTTTGTGTTTATTCCTTATGTAAGGCAGAGTTGTGTTTGAAATGTGCAGTATGCTGATGTGTGCTCTGGAGTAGATTTGTTTGTGGTGTTTTCTATTTAACTTTTGATTGGATCTCATATTGCTTGCTTCACATATGCAGTATTGTAGACATGTGTTCATAGTATCTGATCAACTAGGAAAGTTTTCACACTAGAAATACCAAATGATACTCTGCTTCTTACACCTCACTCAGAAGCAATGAGAAATAAGTTCCTTTGGGCCCCAGTTTAGCTGTTTTGTCTACTACTTGCAGATCACTCTTACATGCCATAAGATACCACAATATGATGTATGAGTTTATTTTTGCCCCTCTTGTTAAGACTGTTAAGGCTTGACCTTTAGAAAATTGTTTCTGACTGCAGCAAGGGAGCAGAGCTCATTTTCTTTCTTCAGTCATTTTCAAATGGGATGTCCTGTGTCCTCTGTATTGATTCTGGGGTGTGTTATCACTGCCATTGCCTCCTTCCTTTGAGGTTTACGAGACTTGGTAATCTTGAGATTTCCTTTTTCAAGGAATTTAACAAGTGAATTCATGACTTTTGGTGTTTTTTGTTGTTGTTGTTTTATTGGGGTATAACTGCTTTACAATGTTGTGTTAATTTCTGCTGCACAACATGATAAATGAGCTATGTGTATAGTATAGGCCCCTCCTTGTGGGCCTCCCTCCCGCCCCGCCCCCGCCCAGGCCCACCCATCTAGGTCACCACAGAGTTTCCAAATGCCCTCCCTGTGCTGTTTATAGTGGGTTCGCCCTAGCTCTCTGTTTTATACATGGCAGTGCATGAATGGCAGCCTCAGTCTCCCAGTTCATCACTCCCCCACCCCACCAGGGAAAGTCCTTCACTATTGTTTTCTGTTTCATTTATTTCTATTATGATCTTTATGATTTGGGGTTTAAAACTTTTTCTTTCTATAATTGCTCTAGGTGTAAGGTTAGATTGTATATTGGAGATTTTTCTTGTTGCTTGAGGTGAGATTGAATTGCTATAAACTTTCCTCTTAGAACTGCTTTTGCTGTGTCGCATATGTTTTGGGTCACTGTGTTTTTGTTTCTATGTATTTTTTAAATTTTCTCTGATTTCTCATGATCTCTTGGTTATTTAGTAGGGTAGCCTCCACGTGTTTGTGTGTTTTTTATAGTTTTTTTTTTTTTCCTTGTAATTGATCTCTAATCTCATGGCGGTGTGGTCAGAAAACATGCATGATATGATTTCAGTTTTCTTAAATGTACCGAGGCTTGATTTATGACCCAGGATGTAACCAATCCTGGAGAATGCTCTGTGTGCACTTGAGAAGAAAGTGTATTCTGCCACTTTTGTGTGGAATGTTGTAAAAAATATTAGTGAAATCTATCCGGTCTATTGTGTCATTTTGTCATTTAAAGATTGTGTTTCCTTAGTTATTTTCTATCTGGA